TGTGGTTGTACAGTGTGTTTGTACTCTGTTGGGTTCTTGTCATTGTGTGCTAGTGTTTGTCCTCTGCAGAGAAATAATTGGACTGTTCTGACCTGTGTGTTCTTTCATGTTTTTTTTTTTCAGATTGCTGTCTATCTGATTCCAGTTTCTTTGACACACTCCATCACAGTCCCTTTCATCTCTTTACTTAGCACCTAGAGACGCTGCTGATTGTGTCTCATAGAGATTGATAAAGATCACTAAAGAGCCTCTTACTGGATAGTTATTGAAATTGTGTTGGTGTGGTAGCATCATTTTGTATGCGTCTGTCTGCACATATGTGCTCTACTCTGGGTCTCATTAGGGCCTTTCGCACTGCAGGAACCTTTTCATAGTACCAGAACTAATTGTGGAACTACCCACTTTTCGGCGTGTTCGCACCGCCGGAACTGGGAGCGATTTTAGTACCGGACTGCCTTTTTCGAGAACCAAATTAGCTCCTACTCCAGAGCAGGGTCTAACCAGCACAACTGGTACTAATCGTGACGTAAGTAGACATTGATTGGCCAAACGCGTATGAAAACGCCCTCACCCGCCATGATTTAAAACGCCGTGTAAACATACTGTAAACATGTCAACTTATTTCTCAAGTATGGAGAACAGCGATAGATGGACGGACGCTGAAGTGCAGGCACTTGTAGCAAATGTAGCACTGCCAGTTGTCGTTGGAGATTCTTAGTCCTCCTTTCCGTTCTTTCAATTGCTTTACGTATACGTCGACTTTCCATGTCCATTATTGTGAAACCCGCGAGACAACAAAAACAGCTCAGATCACAGCGTCCTCCATCCTCCTGTTGTTAATGTTGTTCTTTTATTCTGTTGTTGAACGCCGTGCACAAATGACGACGCTGTCGACCGGCTTACGTCACTTCTTAGTACATACTCTCGGTGCGAATGCAACCCTTTAAATGGTACTGGGAAATAGTTCGCGCAAAATCGTCCCAGTACTTTAGTACCGTACATTTAGTTCTGGAACTAAAGCGGTGCGAAAGGGCCTATTGTCACTGTGTTCCTTTTCATGATGTGTTACTGAAGTGCTATTTTTTGTATTGCACAGTACAGTATGTTGAGTTCTGAAAGTTTTTGGTGCCAATTTTCACAAATATGGTGCACTTTGGTGTCCCGTGACTTTTGTGAAAGCACTAGAGGTATAAACTCAACAGAAAAGTAAACCACTGGACCATGGCAAGTAGGCAGTAAATACATCAAATGTCGTATCCCTTATAAAAAATGCCTGAGAAGTCTTGACCTTTCTAATATCCAACTACTCACATATATATTGTCTGAAAATAAACCTTCAATTGGTTGTATTTTTTTAAATTTTGAACTCATCGAAAACATAATATTTTGTCCAACATCCAACACCTTCATATAACCTATGATTCTCATTTTGAGGCGTCTAAAGTGGAGGTTTTCTATAGTACGCTCATTCAGTACCATAATGCACAGCAATGGAAACTATACAGACAAAATGGTCTCAAGTGAAATGATTTTGAAATGTTTTTGCAACAATTTTATCAGTGTCTGAATTCACACTATATAGAGAATAGTGAATGTGGTAATAGGTGCTGATTTAGGATACAGCTATAGTGTGTTTATTGTTTTTTGTCTGCTTCATTTGGCTTTCCTCCCTTTTCTCGCTTTTTCTAACATGAGTTATTTATGTGTGTGAAAGTAGGTGTGTGTTTACCCCCACCCTTTTACTCTTTCCCACAAATATCCTTTGACAAATATTTTGAACCCAGGCGGGTTTGGGAGGATGTTGACTGAAGTTTGTGGTTGATGGTAGATGGTTCATGATTTGTAGCATTTTAAATCATGTTTAATTGTAACCTCGTGTGTACTGTAATATATTTTGTTTCTATTTTAGCTACACTACCATTCAAAAGTTTGGGGTCAATATTTCTTTTCACTTTCACTCAGCAAGGATGCATTAAATTGATCAAAAATAACCTTAAAATGTTTATATTGTTGTACTGTTAAAATATTCTCTTTCAAATAAATGCTGTTCTTTTGAACTTTCTATTCATGAAAGAATCCTGAAAAAAATGATCAGCTAGTTGCTAGCAAGCAGCAAGTTCAAACTAGACGGACATTTAAGGGATACGTACAGTCATGTCACTTATTACAGCATTTCACCACATAAATAATTATGGGAATAAGAGATATTGATTTGAGATTCAACTGTTTTGAAATCTTAACTGTTTGTTATTTTATAATCCATTAAATTGTACAAAGCAATAGTCACAAAATGGCAGCAGCTGCGCTTGTATGAAACGACAGAGCGGTTCTGCGATACCATAGATTACACCATTAAATGATGAGCCTGTATTATCAGCTTTTACCTGTTGTTACTGAGGAATAATGTACCTCGGAATGTCACAACTGACCAATCAGAATAAAGTATTGCACAGAGCCGTGTAATAGTAAGCAATATCAAACTTCAAACTTTCAACACTGATAAGAAGACAGCAAATTAGCTGTTTCTTGAGCAGCAAATTAGCTATTCATACAGAACGATTTCTGAAGGATAATGTGACACTGAAAATTCAGCTTTACCATTGCATGAATAAATGACGTTTTAAAATGTTCAAATAGAAAACAGGGTTTCACTTTATTTTGATGGTCCCTTTAACACATTCTGTTGACTTTAAGTAATGTTGCACCTACATGTCTACAAACTCTCATTAGTAGAGTATTAGTAGACTGTTAGGGTTAGAATAAGTTGACATGTACTTGCAAAGTTACTTATAGTCAGTAGAATCTCTGTTGGGAGACCATGACAATAAAGAGTTAGCAGATATTAAGCAAACAGTCTACTAATACTCTGATGAGAGTTATTAGACATGTACAGTAGGTGAAACATTACTTATTGTCAACAGAATGTTCAAAAGGGACCATCAAAATAAAGTGTTTTAAACCGAAAACAGTTCTTGTAAATTGTAAAATATTTAGCAAGAAAACTACTTTACTGTATTTTTGATCAAACAAAAACGAGCATAAGAGACATCTTTCAAAAACATAAAAAAGTCTTACTGACCCCAGACTTTTGAACAGTAATGTAAAAAATGTAATATATGTATAGCAAAATATAAAACATGATTTTTTAAAAATCTATTTAGATGTTGTAATATTGCACACAGAAATAACATTCATTCAGTTAGGGTTCTTTCCGCTTCTAAATAGTGTGTTTGTCCATATAACTCTCTCTCCTGCTGCCCTGTTGTGAGAGCAGCCAAAGTCCGTTTTCCTTACTAATAGCGACAAGCTGAATAAAATAATGTCAAAGTGAGTGAAAGAGAAAAATTACAGTTTGTTCTTATAGTTGGGATTAGACCTTAACGCTTTATTTACCAATATGTGTGTAAACACAGACACAAACACACGTGCACCTGCACACTGGAAGGGTAAGATCGGGTCCACTGGGAGGTGTAGGGGGGTTATAGAGGTGGGGTGAAATGGGTGGAGTGGGGGAGGGGAGGTATTCACAAGACGGCATCTGCTGTAATAGGGTGGTGTGATTCTGGGTATGTTTTGTGGTAGGGCAGACTGTGTTGAGGTATAGTACAGATTGAGAATGTGTCCACATTTTCAAGATTGAGAGGAAGCTAAGTGTGGGTGGGTGGGTATCCCCATCAAGGTTTGGGTCTCTGTGGCCTATATTGTGTTCAGACAGGCGGAAGACTACAGACAGAGGGTGCTAGAAAGACCGTGATAAGGGAAAGAGATGCTCACATGGACCAGAGCATGACTTAGGTGAACAGAGGCTTGAGAATGAAACCGCATCTCGTCTTAACCATGAGAATAAAAAGAGTGTCAGGTTGGAGAATAGCCACACAGAATACACACATATTTGTATCCTAGTCCTGTGAGGACTAGGATACAAATGCTCATTTATTAAAGAAATGTCAGAATCTTGCATTTTCAGTTTTCACACACACACACAGCATATAGAAGTTTGGGGTCAGTACTTTTATTAGCAAGGATGCATTACATTGAGCTAACGTGATAGTAAAGACATCTGTAATATATAAAAAAAATTATTTATGTTTCAAATAAGTGCTGTTCTTTTGAATTTTCTTTTCATCAAAGAATCCTGAAAAAATGGTCACAGTTTCCACAAAAATATTAAGCAGCACAACTCATAATAATAAGAAATGTTGAGCACCAAATCAGCTTATCACAATGATTTCAGCTTTGCCAGCACAATAATAAATTACATTTTAAAAATATAAAACTATAAAAAAGAAAATAGTTATTTTATATTTCAACACCATTTCACAATGTTACTGTTTTAACTGTATGTTTGATGAAATAAATGCATGGGTGAGCATAAGAGTCTTCAAAAACATTCAAAAATATTACTGACCACAGACTTTTGAATGATAGTGTACATTAGATATTTTATATTTATGGTTTTATTTTATTTTTTTAAACATCAACATTTTTAAACGTATTATTTTAAATCAAGTAAAATTCAAGAATATGTTCCTCACAAAATGATCAGTCCCTTAAAATTTGATCAAAACTGCAGCTGGTGCTTTTGTGAAAGAAGTAGCATTTTTTTAGTCCATCCAACCTTTTTTTGTCTTTTCATTAGTAATCCAAAGGGAGTGAACCACCTCCTCATATTAAATGAATCACAGCCCTCACACAAACACACAGCCTCTCTCTCCTCCCCTCCTCCTCTGTCACAAGTCAGTGTATTGAGTGCTGGCTCCACCCTCCATGGGGCAGCTACTGGTTCTGTCAGATGTAAAGTCACATTGATTGATTTTCCACAGAGATAAACAGGCAAACATGCAGGCATGGGCTGCCAGCTGAGTCTCACCGTGTACATCTACAAATGTAACCACGAAGAAACTGTATCTCAGTCTGTGTCTGTTCTCATGGACAGTTTCCTGTGTTTAGCTGTGCGGCACCCAACGTGCCATTAATCCAGTTCCTTTCTGTTCTGGCAGGAGTGGCACGCTGCACCATAACAAGGTAAGCTGTGTGCTTGTGTGAGTGTGTGTGTGTGTGTATGTGAATTCCCAGTGAGGATGCTGACAGAAGCGATGAACCGCTTGCCATGTGACATTCAGCAGTGTCCGCGGGATTGGCTGAGCTGAACGATGACCTCAGCAAGCTTTCCTCCCTCCCTCTCTCCCTCCCAGCAGCTCTCTCTCTCCCTTCCCTCCCTTCTTCTCTCGCTCTCTGTCTCTCTCCACTCTGCTTTTTTTCGTGCCCTCTTTTGAGCATCCTTTGGTGATCGTGTAGACCTCAGCCGCAGTGGCTAGAAGCAGCATCCATGGCCTAAACGCGGAGCCCTAAAACATCCACCGGCCCGTCGTACGAGGGACACGGGGACTTTAAACCCAAGGCTGGAAGTGTACTGTTTTTTGTTTTTGTTTTTGTTTTTTTTCCCTCTCCATCTGGTAACCAGGGGCTTCTCTTCTCCCCTCCTCCCGTTTCAGGCTCCTTGGAGATAGAGGAATGTAAATCTGCAATCATGATGGAAGGTGAGGGCTTGGTCTATTTTTATCTTATTGGCTCCTCTTTGCCTCTCTTTGCGTGTACGGCCCGGCATGTGCTGACTTTAAATGCCTTAAGCTGTCCGCCTATTTTGAGTGGCTTGACATTCCGACATTAACTCAATATAGAACTGAAGGTGCTGGATATCTCAAATATAGACACAAATCATCACATACACACACATCTCATATGTACACACACATATATGCATTTGTACTCTATTGTACAACAGCAGGCATATATGCAGTTTTTTTTTCTTTGTGTTTTCACCTCACCCCCCTTTAGATGGCTTTTCTTTGTAAAGGATTATTTGGATTTTGCAGTTACGGCTTATGTGCCCAGCTGGCCGCCGCTGAATTCTCTTTGTATATAGAGTTCACACACATACTCACGTACACATCATTCTGTAACGCAGCACTCATTTTTAATCGTGTGTCTGCTCAAGGCCATTTCTTTAGAGGGAGGTGTTCATGTGTGTGTAATTCAGTGTGTGCATGTGAACACCGCTGTCAGCTGTGTTTTGGAGGAAGAAACAGGATGGTTTGTTTCACATGTGTGACGGAGGTTTTTATGTAACTGTCGGCCCGACGAGAACATATCATTTATTTATAACATTGGATCAGATAAACTCAGTATCATGTCACCTGTTCCCAAACACTCTTGTCTGTCCTTTTGCATGAGTGGTTCATGTCATTTCTGATGTACAATCATGCTAAATCCAAGTCTAATTGATCGGTTAAGGGGGTTTAAGCATAAAATGTTTCTACAATTTACCGTGACAAGAGTAAAATGGCATGTATTCTTTGTGACATCAGATTATGTGTGTCATCCACCCCTTGTATATGGATTACAACGTGTTATGCAATTTATTGAGGCATGTGGAGAAACATCAGAACAAACTTGTTCACTCATTCTGTACATCTGCTGTATAACACATACACAAACACATATGTGACCCTGGACCACAAAACCAGTCGCTGCTGGGGTATATTTGTAGCAATAGCCAAAAATACATTGTATGGGTCAAAATTATTGATTTTTCTTTTATGCCAAAATCATTAGGATATTAAGTAAATATTATGTTCCATGAAGATATTTTGTAAATTCCCTACTCTAAATATATTAAAACTTAATTTTTGCTTGGTAATATGCATTGCTAAGAACTTCATTTGGACAACTTTAAAGGCGATTTTTTTCAATATTTAGATTTTTTTTTTTGCACCCTCAGATTCCAGATCTTCAAATAGTTGTATCTCGACCAAATATTGTCCTAACAAACCATACATCGATGGAAAGCTTATTTATTCAGCTTTCAGGTGTTCAGGTGATGTATAAATCTCAATTTCGAAAAATGGACCCTTATGACTGGTTTTGTGGTCCAGGGTCACATATGAATGTATATATATGTACACATATATACAGTGGGTACGGAAAGTATTCAGACCCCCTTAAATTTTTCACTCTTTGTTATATTGCAGCCATTTGCTAAAATCATTTAAGTTAATTTTTTTCCTCATTAATGTACACACAGCACCCCATATTGACAGAAAAACACAGAATTGTTGACATTTTTGCAGATTTATTAAAAAAGAAAAACTGAAATATCACATGGTCCTAAGTATTCAGACCCTTTGCTCAGTATTTAGTAGAAGCACCCTTTTGATCGAATACAGCCATGAGTCTTTTTGGGAAAGACCCAACAAGT